TACTCCTATATTAGGACGAATCAGATCAGCCGACGAGGCTCGGAATGATCTATCTGATCTGTCTATGGCTTTACAGCCCTTGCGGACCTTGGCCGCATTTTCGGTTTCTTAATCTATTCGCAGTCGGTGGGATCAGCCCATCGCAATGCCGCTACCTACCTACAGAACACGAACACAGAATAAATGCAGACAGACATCCATTACTCGAGTTGGATTCGAACCCACGACCCCAGTGTTCGAGCAGGCGAAGATGGTTCATGCCTTAGACCGCGGGACCACTGTGAACGGCTTGTCTTATAGACAGTTTTTACAAATTTCTTATTTTAATTTTCGAACAATTTATACTGGTCGTTTCATGATCTGAGAACAAAATGAATTTCCAGATTTTTCAGTACAGTTTTTAATTACAAACCCGCAACATTACGCACACAGTTATAATGCGCACAAAGTATTCTGCGCAGGCAGTTCCTCTGTTGCGTTCCTGTACCAGTCCTTATTACGGTTCGATTATATAGAGCGTCTTCTTCATTTCCGTCGAGGAACTATGACGTCATTGAAGCAGCTGCAGATGAAGTAACAATGCCTAGCGTCAGAATCTTGTAATACTTGGCTTTATTCACATACGCACTTGTGTAATTGGATCCTGAAAGCCTGGAGGGGGAAAATTGATTAATTTTGTAGTGCGTTCGGTGGATCTTCCTCCCCATTTCAATTAACAAGGAAATCTAAGTATCTGATTGTAATTTACGGCCTATCGGAGGCTGCAGATTTGCATACTATGCCCTAAATAACTTTCAAAAATGTCCATACTTTTATGCCAGGGGCGGTGTCCGTGGGAAATAGCGAAGTGATGAAGTGTGCTCTTCAGTATTCCGAACACGAATTCCACATCGCCTTCGTGTTTTAAATTAACGGAGAATTAACGGTAACTCAATTTCAATAAGGGTTCTTAATCATGTGAAATAGGCCCGTATTAACGAGAACTCGTCTGCGGCAGACCCGGCAGCCTGATATAATGATGTCATTTGGGGTGCACGTACTGGGTTACCAGCTCTGATACTGTATATTCATCGTGACTTCCTGCAGTTCTCCAACTGACTGACGGATAGGGCTACACGGAGACAGTTAACGCCAACCGTAACGCTCGCGACTTGTTTCCGGGGCTCCTGACCATCGTCAGTGAGGTTTCCGTAGTTTTTCTCAGTCATTCCAGACAAATTCCGGGAAAAGTGTTTCTATCTATCTATTTATCTATGGCTGAACAGCCCTTTTGTGGGGCCTTGGCCGCTTTTATCCGTTTCTTAATCCTATACACAGTCGGTAGGACCCCTTGGACGGGGATCAACCCGTCTCAAGGCCGCTACCTACACAGAACAACACAAACACAAAATAATCGCAAACAGACATTCATGCCTTGAGTGGGATTCGAACCCACGATCCAAGCATTCGAGCGAGCGAAGACACTTCATGCCTTAAGCCGCGAGGTCACTGTGATCGGCATGACAATTTTGTTACCTCAGATAAAGTCACGACGACTTCTGTCCACATACTTTCCAATTGGTCACTCACTGTCCATCCTACCTATTGACGCTAATGGTCAGAGCTACAGACATCACTGTTAAATATGCCCAAAGTAAAATAAATAAATGGTACGGTTGTTCTTTCTAACAGTCTACATCACCGTATTCAATACATTTACCTGCTCGCCGCTCATGATAACATTATCGCGTCGTTTGACGTTATAAAATCTCGTAAGTTGGCAAAATGTAATTAAATAACCCAGGAAGAAACGTCTAGGTGAAAGTTTGCTCTGAAGAAGAAAAGAAATGTTGGTTGGTGTTCAGTTCTCAGGGAGGCAGAGGCGGAGAAATCACGATTTTCCAAGTGAAGATGCGACAGTGTTAACGCATTAAATGTTTAAATGCAATTTAACATCCTGAAAACTCTTGTAAATATAAAACGAAAGTTTGGACTTACGATGAGTCAAAGTGTGCAGACATGGTTCCTCATACGGTTGCGTTTCCCGAGAGAACATGAAACTTAATACCAGTTATTACTTCTTTTAAAAGCTGTTACATAAGGCCATAAATGTGTATTACAAAACAAAAATAAATAAATATTTTCAACCCTGCCCGGGTTCGAACCTAGAATCTTCTGAGCCGCAGTCAAACGCGTTTTCCGTTGCGCCACAGGTGTGCCATGTACCGAAGTTTAGTATCAACCCACATGCCCAGCCCACACCATATGGTAAATATTCAAAAGGAAACATCGATTTTTCCAAAGGACTGAAATGTGGAGCGCTGTGGACCGAATACAGAGCTCGAACAGTTCTTGATGCAATCCATACGCTGCGGTTGCGCAAGTGTTACCGTGTCTGTTGTTTCAACGCAGTATAGTAGTATACGTATGCTTCTTAGCAGGCATTTTAGCAATTTGCACGAATCGAGATATTCCTTTCAGAAGGTTACATAATTTGTCAGTGGACAGTGGAAAACAAACGGTTGGAAAAGGTCGGCATCGATATCAACAGAAATCGACAAATCCATTTGTAATAGCAGAAATATGCATAAATATGTAAGATGATATTCCTTGTGAAAATAAAATGAAAATAGAAACTCCCTAAAAATAAACCTTTTCGACAAACCAACAGCCGCTCAGCTGCTCAAAAATATTTCCAGCTCGTACGTAACCTGAGTATATATTACTTTAGTCATATGAATCCTGTCCAAAGTCCATTTATTTAAGATATGTTTTAATATTATCCTCCCATCTACAACTAGAAATTTTTAATTGAGGATATCCAGCTGAATTTTGTGTACACTTTACTGTTCTTGCCTAGGCATGCTACATGCCCAACACACCTCTCACCCCCTTGACTTGATCACCACAACAATAGTTTGTGGAGACGGCATATGCGCATGCGTTTATAGCCTTCGATGCTGACGCGCCTCTAAACCCAGTCACGCACTCAAAAGTGATACAGTTTTTCGTTATGGCATTTTTCTAGCCTCCTGCTTTTTTCTCCTTTTTAGATCCTCAGTATTCACTTCAACACTTGGAAAAAAGGAATGGAAATAGATTTGTATATAGCGACAAGGTTCCTCTATCATCCTCTCAGCGTATATCGAAGAAAGGTAGAGCAAAACCGAATTATTATTCAATTATATGACAGCGTCCAAATTATCTGACAAAAATATGAGCCGTATCAGTCACAGCGCATCGTGCGTTCAATTTCGAAGTACGCCTTTATCCGCTGAGAATCTGGAAGTGATCCACTTGTCTTTATATCTGTCAATTTGGGAGATATAAGCTTAGAAATTGGAAAAATTGTGTTTAGAGAATTAATGCATGATCTAGATCCAGATGGCGCGGCATCTTGCAAGCACGGTAATTAACATGGTTCCTTGTTCCTTTATTGTACTTTAGTTCACTGCGACGAACAGCGTTGCACTTAGACGGTGCAGAAAGCCCTAAGTCAGATCTATGCCCTGCAATAGGATGCTGAAGTGTAACATTACTATAATTAACTTTCGGGTTCCATAAAAGCGGAGAATATTTTAACCAGTTCGGCGACCATTAGATCCTCTCTGATTCACCTCCAGGGGAGGCGTATGGACCTGAACCTGCCAGCCATTCAACATTGCGTTCGGTTATCATGCCTCGGAGCAGTTTTCGGGAAGCAAGCTTCGTAACTTCCTCCTGGTACTTCTTGTTATTCACCATGTACAAAGGTGAAAGGTAAGGATTTCCCTGTGCTTCATTAATTAAGCTATATGCCATCAAGACATTGTGACAATGAAAGTGTAGCGCTAAATAGAGGTGAGTGTCCCGGCCACTTTAACCCTGTGGAGACAGTCCACGGTACCCAACAGATACGAGTAGGAGGCTGGATGCTGTGGAGTAGAGAAAAATCTGTTATCCCTGCCAGGAATCGAACCCCGACCGTCAAGCCCACATCCCGTCGCTGTACCGACAGCGTTACTCAGTATGTTCCTTAAGAAAAGCAAATGAACTACAGACGACATACACGTAGGAAGTGTGTATCTATGAACTGCGAGAAGTCAAGGCTACGTCGGCCACGGCCGTGACGAACAGTATCTTCTGAGATGTGACGCCGTGTAGTCTGTGAGAAGTTGACTGATGTTTTGGAGAATCAAACTGCTTCCATTTTCAATGTCGAACAATGAGCTGTGCATGAGCAACTCCACTCGCTGCTTGTTTCCAAGGCATATGCTTCGACTCTGAAGATTGAAGCAGTACGTTCCTCCGAAACATCGGTTAACTCCTGATATAGTACAGAGTGTTCAATCATCGAGGAAACCGGGGGAGCAGGGTGAGTAGGATACAACATCTCTCACAGATTGCTGCTGTAACTGCCGAGCGCAGAATGAGTCATCAGCGCTGATAAACGCGCGGTCGGGTGGCGTGGTCTTGTCACTGCAGCTAAGTCGCAGTAATAGTCAGTCTGTCAGCGAGTGAGCGGTGTTGCGAAGTTTCCTCCTCGATTGAACGCAGTGTATACAATGCCATCACATGCCAGAAGACAGTAAGTACACTTCAAATTCACACTGATTTCATAACAATATATGTAAAAGGCTCCGATGAATAGAAAAGGATCATGTTAATACAATGTTAATACATTCTACATTACCCATCGTCTTGTCTGTTTTCTAAAAACACAACGTTTCGGAGACTGGATTCTGTCCTCAGGTAAAACCTACTCAGTTGGGTCCTATCGTACGTAAAAAGAAACAGGACGGTTTTTAGAAAATAGACAAGACGATAGAAAATGTCCAAAAACATAATACTTGTAGCAATATACCATCGTCACAAAGTTTTAGATCTTGTTAATTTATTTTACATATGTTATTATGTCGAAACCAGCGTAGGAACATGACTTTATCTTCCATATAATCTCGCAGCCAAAGCTGAAAAATCGGACCTCGTCCATCCTGCTTGAGAATTCCAAAATATTTCACTAGATCAAGACAATATTGAGCTGTTCTTCTGAATGAAACATATATTTATTAATGTTCATAATCTCACATTACCTGATGACATCATCTTGTCCCACAACTCTGAGAAAGAAATACAGTACTTATATAAAAACGCTTATAAAGAAGTAGAAGACTTCTCAAAATTCAGCTTGAAGTGTCGCGTTAATTTCCTTCTGTGATGCAGTATTTGTCGAAACACTCGTATATTTTTCTATTGTTTTAGAATTTCACTGCTATTCATTGTTAATTTTGATCAGTTTCTGGGAAATGGCAGAATGTCGACGTGGGGTGTACTCTCAGGTCTTCATGTCTCCATTTTTATATCGAGAAGACGCCCATGCTCGTTTCTCACATGTAGTAAGCCTGCTGTAAGATCTATGGGGTAGTTGCTTCAACTTTGCGCCTTCAGGTGCAGGATACGAGTATTATATAGATATATGTACTGAAAGTATCGGCAAGGTTTGTGAGGTAGCAATTTCGCCTTTAAGATGGAGACGGAAAAAATCTCCGAAACGTCAGGTACACGATCCATTTAAACAGGGTACAATCGTCCTACATAAGATCAGCACCACTTGTTTGTTTTCCCAGAATTTGTATAATTCGCTTCCCGCTGAACAAGTGCGCTGTGTCAATGTGAGATTTGCACTTCACGGTGGATGAGATGGTTAGTGTAACCTCCACAGCGTCAAAACGGTTGTCTTCATGGTATATTAGTGTTTGTAGCGCTTATAGCCGGAACGTGCATTCAAAACCTGGAAATTGGAGAAAATATTGTTAGTAAAATGAATAAGTGATAACAGTTGTGTTCTATTGTGCTTTAAATCAAAAGTCTCGACCTCTTTTGTAGATATTTTGTATCTTAGGCGACTCTACTGACGATGTACTGATTTGCGTTTGACAGTTCGTCCACTTCCACTTCACCCTGTACAGCTCCTGACTTATGGTATGACGATTTAATATTAAATTAGCTGAAGCCCATTCTCGCACATGTAATGACTGTATGCCTCTCCGTTCATCGAGACAGACTCACTCCCATTTGACGATCGCATGAAGTCAAGACTTCCTAAACACAGATCCTCTGCGATCTTAATTTAGTATGTTAAGCCGTCTTTCATTCTGTACTTCCATGTTTTAAAGTTTCTTAATGCTAGTAGAGTGGGACAAAGTCCCTTGTACTGCGGCCACTTCTGGCCTATTGTACCAGCCCCAGATGATAGGTGAGGGTGAGTGTGGAGCAATAGGTCGAATGAAGATTGGCAGGGGAAACCGAAGTACTCGGAGAAAACCTGCCCCAGAGCCACTTTGTCCACCACAAATCCCACCTGACCAGACCCGGGATCGAACCCGGGCCGCCGCGGTGAGAAGCCAGCGACTAACCGCTTGAGCTAAGCGGCCTCCGTAGTCTATAGGTAACGTTCCAACCTCATGACTCGTGGTACGCGGGTTCAAATACCCGGCGGAGGTCGTCGAATTTTTAAGGGCGGAAAAATTCAGGGAACAAGTCCTCCGGGAGGGACTTTAGGCCGTGTGTCCCGTGTCGTAGCTTTACGGCACGTAAAAGAACCTCATATCTCCAAAGGAGATCACTGAGCAAATTCAAGGACGTTTCCCGCCCAACAGTAGTCTCTAAGGCCTCTGATAGATGGGGGAAGCATTATAGACACCGCCAAGCTAATGGAGGCCGAACTCGCTGGCTCGGCGGGACTGATGGTACGCACCAATATCGGTAGGGTATAGAGACTGGTAGAATATCATAGAGGGAAGCACAATGGACCAATACTGGTCTAAGTGCATGGGGAAACCCACCCTCTCCAATAACTAACTAACCGCTTGAGCTATGGCGCGGCTATGTTTTGAGGCTTCCTCCTCATAATATTGTAGATAAAAGCTGGCTGAAAGCATTTTTCGTAGCAATGAATACGCTGGCATAAATCAAGGCGTTGCCCCGAGACTGACACACGTTTCGTGGTAACGGACGAAACAGAGAATAACACAGGAACTGTAAGCCGAGGGCACACCGAGGAAACTGGCAACCGTAAAGCAACCACCCTTCACTCACCTTCTCCTCCCCCCCTCTTTGTGGTTGGCCACGCGCTGTTCGTCGCTCCTTTCTTTCTTTCTTCTTCTTCTTAGGTTGGGCGCCACTAAGCTCAGCTGGTGTCGGCTTACAGTAATCACAGGTTTGTTTTGGAAAGGGGGTAAAGGTGATAGTTAACTAGTTCAGCTGTGGGTAAAGCTGGGATCCTTCTCAAAGCGTTTGATAGGGCCTCGCTCAGGACGGGGGGCGAGTAGTTGGTTCAATGCTACTTTGCACTTAAACACCATGATCATTTCTTGAGATCAACACTTCCCTTCATCTGATGACACACACAGTCAATATAATGGATGCTTGTATATAGGTCCTTATATAACGGACGTTATTAGGACGATTTACACTTTGAATTTAGTGTTTGCTGGGTTCGTTGCCAACAAGTGCCGTCGCTTTCTCCTGTGTGCTGGACGAAGATAATTACGCAGGACATTGCAGTAGTAGGCANGTTCGTATGAGCGAGTCCAAGTTTCGTCCAGAGTGACGATCCTTCCAAGGAAGTCGTCACCTTCCCTCTGGTACTGGTCCAACAAGTCTTGTGCAATTGCATAACGTTGCCATTGTTGCACCTCGGGCATTCTATGGGGTACCCAACGCGCTGCGGTATCGGAGAATATCGTGCAGAATGTGGAGCACGGTTCTGTGACATACGCCTACCTCAGCAGCTAACTCTCGCCCAGCCCATCGACGATCGTCATAGAGCAAAGAAGCAAGAAGCGGAATTGTGTGTTTGTCAACATGGGGTCGTCCTGAATGGCATCCCTCCCTTCACGGAACAGTTTCACCCACCGTGCCACTGTGCGATATGGCAAAGCAGCATCACCACATGCTTCTCGCAGTCCCTGATAACAGTTTTGTGCACTACGACCTCGTGCAACTTCAATTTTTATCCAGGAGCGTTGTTCTTGTTTCGTAAACATGTTGTTATGTGCTTGCACTGGGCTCCTGCACTTCAAGACGATCCACAATGCAACTCAATGAAACACAACCAGAGCCACTCACTGCACTACTTCAACTGAACTTCTGCTATCAGCTACAGACGGCGCTAGTGCCACCTGACGCACATCTTTCATGTTACAGCAGTGTTGCCACTACTTTTTATCCAACCCTTGTAATACCGAATGACGCGCAAGAAGTTGGAAGGTGACGTCATGCTCTGTTTCAAGTTACAATGTTAGCGAGGAAGAAGCAGAAGTCTAGACCTCTGCTTCTACACCAGTCGTTTTGGCGAATTATATTCATAGGGAAAGCCATTAAGTAGATTAGGACCCACCTTGAATGTATGTGTAGTTCCTTCATAGGGGTGGGTGCCACCAAAGATATACTTGAAGCTGCCGACGTGACGAATGCGGTATTTCCCAGGCACCGCGTCAGGGCCCACAGTCCACGTAATAAGCGCTACGCTGGATCCCAGTATAGAGGAAACGCGGATCCAATGGAATCTGGAATAGTTACAGGCGATGTCAGGCGTTCACACCGATTCGGTACTCTTGCTGATAGTGTTTCGGAGACCTTTAATGGCTCCATCCTATCTAACTGTCCGGTATGGATGCTGACTCTGCGCGCAGATTGAGCCATACTGTCTCATCAAAGTCAAAGTCATATTGCGGCTGACGGTCGGTCTTGATATTAGATTCAGTTTGACTGTTACTGTCTTGTCCTTGTGGGGCGCCCTCTCTGACGAGAGGACAGGTCTGTTGTTTGTCAGGGTCATTTTCAGCAGTAATATATCAGTTGTCAGAATATACAATTTATTTGCAGTTTATATGTTACACGTGTTATTAAATGTATATATAATACATACAAGGCTCAGTACAGCAGATCATGCCCTATTTTTAGTAGCTTCCGCTACAACGACAGTCTAGTCGTTTGAACGTTCGTATGCTTGATCGTCGCCAGGTTTAAGCTTCTTATATTTCTACTGTCTCATCATGTTTCACGGTGCCTTTTATAACGTTGGGTGAAGGATCAACTACTTGGATAAGAAACGGATTTCGATTTTTGGCAGGGACAACGGATTTTCTTCTTTTTTACGGCGTTCGGACCAGCTCTGTGACCAACATATCCTCCTGGAAATTTGAGTAAAGTGACCGGGGTATGAAGCCCACCACGCACCTCTTTCTAGTGTCCAGGTTAAGAATGTTTGCATCTGTACTTCCACTTACCTTTCATCTTCATATCGTGGCACTTCATTTATCACTAGGACAGCTTCCCTTTTTCTGACAGTTTAATGGGCCTCAAATGAATGGAAATCTCATAATTCGCATATTGTATAGTCAAGATGCCGCTGTGAGACCCCACGAATAGCTACAATTCTTATTTCATATAATAACAATAGTTTGCTTTCCCTACAGCTCGACACGCAAACTACAATACAGACATGTCCAGACCGTAGAACAATATGTACCACAGTCTTACAGTGGACATAAGTGACGGTAGGAAAGGCCACTGCGCTGCGCAGTTCAGAGAGATATGTCAGACCTGTCAGAGTTTCTAAGGTAACGGTTCAGTGGTAGAACACGCATGTCACAACAGCGCGGTGTGCTGCTAGTGTTATCAAAGTTCTACGTCTTCCAATTTAGGGATGATGTCTCAGTCTGTACGCCGACATGTTATCATGAATTCAGAGTGTAACTGGACCCACTCCAGTATGTTTATTGCGTTAATACAATTAAAAGAGCGGAGCCTTCATCCCAGTTATGCCACACAAAGACAAAATGCTGGTACACAAGCATCCACCAAACATCGGCATNTAAAAGAGCGGAGCCTTCATCCCAGTTATGCCACACAAAGACAAAAGCATCCACCAAACATCGGCAGTGATAGACACGGCATGAGAATATTCTTCACCGCAAGCGCGTAGAGAAGTGTTAATTCGTGGGCAAGATCTAGCAATAGATTACAGTTGAGGAAACTACGCTTATTCGTCACAACTGGGAAGAAAATTTACTTTATCTCTACGTTATCTCCAGAAAGTTCATATTCGTCAGTCATAACACGTAAACTCTCCCTACTTGAACCAGAGCTCTCCTCACTCACAGAACTGAGTCCTTGAAAAGCCGCCAATTCTGCAGCTACTCAAGAACTTCCAGCATTTTGTGGAACCCAAAGGTTCATTACCTTGTTCACAAGAGCCCTCCACTGGTCCCTATGCTGAGCCAGATCAATCCAGTCAATACCATCCCATCTCTCTTAGATACATTTTAATATTGTCCACCCACCTAGGTCCTGCTCTTCCTAGTGGTTATTTCATTCTGGCTTTCCCATCAATATGCTATATGCATTCTTCTACTCTCCCATTCGTGCTTCATGCCCTGTCCATCTCATTCTCCTTGACTTCATCATTCTAAATATACTTGGAGAAGAGTCAAGTTATGAAGCTCCTCATTATGCAGTTTTCTCCAACCTCCTGTCACTTCATCTCTCTTCGGTCCGAATATTCTCCTCAACACCCTGTTCTCAAACACCCTCAGCCTATGTTCCTCCCTTAATGTCAGAGACCAAGTTTCACATCCATACAGAACCACAGACAAAATTATAATTTTGTAATTTTTTTCAGACAGCAGATGAAAAGACAAAAGGTTCTGGACAGAACGGTAGCAAGCATTACCCGAGTTCAATCTCCTCTTAATTTCCTCCTCAATTAGGCTTTCATTTGTTATCGTCGTCGCCAAATATCTGAACTGTGCCACGTTTTCAAACATCTGTTTCCTGTCGTTATGTTATTTTTTCCCCTGCATTCTGGTGAGGGGACAGCAACATATACTTAGTTTTCTCCGTGTTTACTTCTAGACCAACCCCCTTACTGGCATCAATTAAAATTTTGTGTGTTTTTCTTTATGGTATCTACATTATCACCCAGTAGATTCACATCATCAGCATAGACCTACAACTGATGTGTCCCATTTAATTTCAGTCCTACCTGAGCCAGAGCTACCAGCATCCTGATAATATTAGCCGTATCTGGCTGCGGGCCCTACCAGTTTCTTGTACTGCTGTCAGTCGAAATCTCTTACTCACATGATAGAAAACCTGTTACAGTTACGGCTAAACTCAACTGGCGAATATGGTCTCGAGTCCGACCTCGCGAGGATCAGCCCCTCGGACACGTGAGGAAGGACGCTCTGTGTAAGGCGGATCAACTTCAATGGACGGGAATACTACAAAGTGAAGGCGAGACAGCAATGATGTCCGAAACGTCAGCAGCACAGTCTATACTTACACGAACTATAGCCAAAAGACGAAATCCTCACTAAGATGTACGTTGAAAGTGACCTCAGCATAGGCTGTGCCATAGCTCAAGCGGTTAGTCGCTGGCTTCCCACTGCGGCGGCCCGGGTTCGATCCCGGGGTCTGGTCAAGTAGGATTTGTGGTGGACAAAGAGGCGCTGGGGCGGGTTTTCTCCGAGTACTTCGGTTTCCACTGCTAATCTTCATTCCACCAAATTCTCCATCATCATAATCACCCGGAGCAGGCTACAATAGGCTAATCAGTGGCCGCCGTGCCGAGTGGACCCAGTTGGACTCCACCCCCCACTAAGCGAATTAAAAAAAAATTGTACGTTTCACTTCTTTGTGACCATTAACACAACTATCTTTCCAGAAATCGGGCATTTTTATTACTGAAATAACTTCCACCAAATATTTCGACCCGTGTGGGTCATCTTCAATTGGTTACTGCGTCGGAAACAAACCAGTGCACTGTAGGAGTTGAGGCTCTCCCGCCGCTGGTTACGAAGATTTCATTTCGCATAGAAGCGTCCATATACACGTAAATTATGGAAAACTGGATCCGGTTTCTTTCAATAAGACAGTGAAATTCAATGCAGTTCACTAGTTTATCTCTGACGTAGTAATGACCAACACCCTCCGAAACATTTGGTGTAATTTAAATAATAAAAATACCTGACACCAGGAAATATAATTGGGTTGATGGTCACAAAGCGAAACGCAGATTTCACTGATACCCCTCGATTAAAGAGGAAACCGGCAATCATATTACAATTCCGTGCAGTATAAGACTATATGGGATGTCCCAGCTCTGTGCTCTATAGGGCGTGTTTCTGTCCGTATTCTGAATGTAATTTTGTATACTAATTGTCGGCATTTGTGTATCTCTTGTAGGTTTATTTTTTATATGTACGATATTTTACTTACTTTAATTCTTTGATGTTCTGTAAAAAGTAAGTAAAGCTATTCCTGTAACAGGCCGTGAAGGCCCATAGGGTTGTGAGACGTTAAGGGTCCCACATTATCTAGACAATCGGCTCAAAGATGGCGGTAAGGTTGTTAGTCTTACGCGCCGGCCGCGCTTTACTCCCCAGGAAAACTATTTAATTAATTCCTGGTACTCATTTCTGTTAGAGGTTGAGTCAACCACAGGGCCATAGTACAGCTGGAAGGAGTAGGTCAATTGAAAAAAAAATCCAATGACCTCATCTGGGCTTGAACCCGCGACCTTCCGGCTTGTAGCATAGTGCCTCAACCAACTACGCTACCGAGTGCCCCCTTTGATGTTCTGTACTTGGTGGATCTATACATATATATATTATTGACTTACCGAAGCTTTTATGGATAGACTGTGGTACAGATTACGTCCAAACAAACAGCAGTGTGTGCTGCAATAAATACTACAGTCGTTCCTTCAATTTCCTTCACTGTCTCAGCTTCCATTTTAAGCTGGCTGTGGCTTTACGGACTGTAATTCCTGGCCATAGATTCAAAACATGTTTTTACTTGAACCCCTCACAAGTATTTCCGCCTTGCTGGGTTTATATATCGTGACTTGTGTCACTTCTGTTCTCCAGAGATATGAAGTATCTCTATCGATTGGGTCCGACAGAGTAGGTTTCCCACCTGAGGATAAAGCCAGAGTCCAGTCGACGTAACGTCATCTCATATAGCACTAGAAGGATGGACACTGTCCAGAGAATTATTCATAGTTTTCATGAAATTAGCTCGTGGTGGAAATTTACTTTTCCGAAGTTTGGCACTATAGTGGCAGTGGAGATGAACACGACACACTGCACTGACAGAATGAACCGTGGGGAGTGCCTGTGTGGATCCGGAGCAGTTCAGTGAATCCGTTGCAGAGTTCGAATTCCGGTTATCCCTGCACTAGTTATACACGTATTACGAGTATAACAAAATGTTAAACACTGAATTTTATAAACTTTGTGACTAAATGTTGATCTGGCTCCTTTAGATTCTCTGGATCGAACTGAGCAACATACAGATTATGTGGATTGGATTCATTTGGCTCCGGGCTGGTACCATTGGCGAGGTTTTGTTAATGCGGTTATGAACCTTCCGTAAAAGATGGGACATACCTTGACAGCTTCTTAAAAAGACTGTCCGCCGTTCAATTCAAATAATTATATTTAAATTTCAAAGAAATGTTTCTATTTTCCTTTTATCGGCAGTTAAGGAGCCGGGATAGCTC